AACAATTTGGGATTTATATTGCGCCTCAACGCCGGATGGCGTCTCAGAGTGCTTCACAATAACGGATCCCAGGGCCGAGCCAGGGTGAGGGGGAGGAAGGTGACCAAAGCGCAGTCGAAAAGAAAGGTCTTCAGCCAAGACCTGAAAGTGGGAAGGGGCGAGGTGAAGTGAGTGAGAAAGGGAGTTTCAGAGCCTCAGGGCATAGTGGCTGAAGGCACAGCCGCCGATGGTGGAGCGGAGGACTCAGGGGACAAAGAGGAGGCCAGTCCAGATGGAACGAAGGCAACGGGCACTGTTGTGAGGAGGGAGGAGGTCAGAGAGGTCGGGGGGGGTGCAGAGGAGTGGAGAGATTTGAAGACAAGGGTGAGGATCTTGGAAGTTGATCCTCTCTGGGACAGGCAGCCAGTGCAGTCTGGCAAGGACTGGGGTAATCGGGAAGCGGAGTTTGGTGCGGGTAAGAATGCGGGCAGCAGAATTTTGTATGACCTGGATTTTATGAATGGTAATGGAGGGGAGACCGGCGAGGAGGGCATTTGAATAGTCCAGCCGAGAGGTGACAAAGGCATGGACCAGGGTTTCAGCGGCTTTTGGAGTGAGGTATTGGCAGAGACGGGTGATGCGTCGGAGGTGGAAGAAAGCGGTGCTGGTGAGGGACCGGATGTGGAGGAGGAAGGATAATTGGGGGTCAAACCTGACGCCTAGGGTTCGGAGAGTTTTAGGGGGACATCGGGCAGGTGGAGGAGGTGAGAACCATGTGATTTTAGACATTGACGAGAGCCAAAGAGTATGGCTTCCGTCTTGTCAATGTTCAGCTGAAGGAAATTCGCGCTCATACATATGATAAATACAAACAATAAGTGTGCCAGAGTGCTCTGTGAATTGTATCATATTAAGGCAATTGTCAATCTGAGATTAAGTTCTTTATTCTTATGGATACATTTATTAATTTGTTCTAATGTTGTTGTTAGCTTCAGGATGCGTCCGTTCAGGGAGAGGGTGTGCCTACCATTTTAACAACCTATTTCTGGGATATGCATGTATAGATGGGTTGAATGGAAATCTCTTAAGCATGATGATGGGTTTCTGCATGTGTCAGCCACCCGGCTGTCAAACAAAAATGAGTTTCATTGTAGAGCTAATTAGTGATTAATAGATTCATAAACATTCAACACATTATTTCAACAATGTGACTGCAGATCATAGAATCACATAGAACAGAAGGAGGCCATTCAGCCCATCGTGTCCGTGCCGGCTCTTTGAAAAGAGCTATCCAATTCAATCCCGCTCCTCCACTTTCTCCCCATAGCTCTGCAAATGTGTCCTCCCCAAATATATATCTACTTCTTTCTTGAAAGTTGTTATTGGCTTCCGTCATCCTTTCAAGCAATGCATTTCAGATCCGAACAACTCACTGTGAGAAACAATTTCTCCTCCCTTCCCCTCTGGTTCCTTTGGCAACTATTTTAAATCGACCCACTGGCCAATGGAACCAGTTTCTCCCTGTTCATCCTATTGAATCCACTCATAATTTTGAAAACTTCTATTAAATCTTCCCTTAACCTTCTCTGTTCCAAGAAGAATAATCCTAGCTTCTCTAGCCTCTTCTTATAACTGAAGTCCTTCATTCCTGGTACCATCCTGGTAAGTCTCCTTTGCACCCTCTCCAATATCTTCACATCCTTCCTAAAGTGTAGGGCCCAGAACTGAACACAGGACTCTCGCTGAGTTCTAACCAGTGGTTTATAAAGGTTCACCATAACTTCCTGATTTTTGTATTCGATGTCCCTATTTATAAAACCTAGTATCCCTTTTGCTTTTTTAACAGCTTTATCTGCCTGTCCTGCCACTTTCAAAGATTTGCTTATATGGACCCCCAGGTCTCTCTGTTCCTTCACCCCTTTAAGATTGTACCATCATCTTATATTGCCTCTCCTCATTCTTCCTCCCAAAATGCATCACTTCACAATTCTCCACATCTGCCACTTATCTGCCCACTTTACCAGTCCTCTTGTAGTCTGCTACTATGCCACTTGCTGTTTACTATTTTTCCTAGCTTAGTATCATCTGTCCCTTGAGGCCTATCAAAAAGTCAGAAAGCACAGCAATGGGGAAAGAGAATCCAACATGAAAATGGCTGAACAACATTTAGCAAAAAGTTAATTATTGGATCAGGTACAACCCCCACCCCCCCAAGCTTTGAAGAAATGCTAGGTAAGTTGGGGATCTTCAACCTTTGATCAAAACATCTCAGAGTGGACTTTGGAGTTATCATGGAAAGAAGGTAGGCTCGGTATTCTGGAAGGATTAGATCAACTTGGCTGAAATCTTCTTTATTTGAACCTGTTATGTATTCATAAATAGAGGTTTCATGACATTAAATGGAATATCTTGGCTGCATTTTGCCCATCTAGCCTTACAACACAAAGTCGACATAAAATTTGCATTGCCATCCCAGCTGATATCAACCAACACAGCAAGGACCTGGGGTCTTCTGGCTCTCCAACTGTAATAATAATAATAATCCTTGCATTTGTTATAGCGCTTTTCACGTCAGGAGGACGTCCTAAAGCGCTTCACAGAACACACTGTAAAGTGAATTGACTGTACATTTGTTGGCGAACGCGGCAGCCAATTGCGCACAGCAATGTCCCACAAACAGTCGTAGATTGAAAATGACCAATTTATTATTGTTTTTGGTTTTGGAGGGATTATTATTAGGCGTGTGGAGTAAGGAAACTTGCCCAAGGTTTCGCCCTGCCTGGAATTGAACTCAGGTCTCTCACTTGCAAAGCGAGTGCTCTAACCACTGAGCTACAGGACTCAGTAATGTATGTGGCGCATTTGCCCACTGCACTATTGGGCAGCCCTTAGTATTGAGCATAGAGTCCCTTAGTTTTATGTAAATTTCCCCCTTTCTCACCTTTTCCAAAGCTCCAGGTTAAAGGAATTGGCAGTGATGCCTTGGCACATATCAGAATCTGGAATCTATACACAATGAACTCCTGCCACTCTGATGTCTGCTGACATGTCCCAATGCAAAGCAGCAGTTAAAACTGGCCAGGATGTGAAACTGATTTGTAACAAATTTAGACTAAAATGTAAGTGTGCGCCCAGGGCACAAAACTATACAGTGAACTCATTGCAGCCTTGTATTTCTGCCAAGATCAAGTCAATAAAAATTATCTGAATGTCTCAAAGTAACAACCATTAACAAAGCTGCACTTTCAATCAAACAAAGTTAAAAGCACTGTGTAATTAATTTTAAAACTTGGAAATTGTGCTCCAAAGTCTAGGTCATTTATATAGATCAAAAAGAGCAGTGGTCCCAATACCGACCCCTGGGGGACGCCACTGCACACTTCCCTCCAGTCAGAAAAGCAACTGGTCACCACCACTCTCTGCTTTCTGTCTCCTGGCCAGTTCTGTATCCATGCTGCCACTGTCCCTTTAATACCGTGGGCTTAAATTTTTCTAACAAGTCTATTATGTGGCACTTTATCAAAAGCCTTTTGAAAATCCATATAGACTACATCAACTGCACTGCCTTCATCCATCCTTCCGTCACTTCATCAAAAATTTTTATCAGGTTTGTTAGACATGATTTGCCTTAATAAATCTGTGTTGGCTGTCCCCTTTATTAACGCATATTTTTCTAAATGAAAATTGATTTTGTCCCAGATTATCGTCTCTAGAAATTTCCTCACTACTGACAATAGGCTGACTGGCCTGCAGTTCCTTTGTTTATCCTTCTTCCCTTTTTTGTACAAGGGATCTTTCATTGTGTTAATTAGTATCTTGTAGAGACAGGATTTGTTGTTCATGTTCAAAGGTTTTATGTCTTGCTTTTTTTCCATTTGGCTTTATTTGCAATTAGAAATTAATGCAAGAAGTGAAAATGTATCAGTTTAATTCATGGGTACAAAGATTTTAATGTGAACTCAACTCTGGGTACATTTGCCCCACCATACATTTCTGACCGTCTGATAACCCTACCCAACTCCCTCCACTCGTTAGGCATTGACCTGTTTCATGTTGCTCCACCCTACCCACCCCACCAACGGTGGTCAGCCATTCTGCCCCCACTATATGGCACTCCATCCTAGAGTGTCTTCACCTCACCACTTCTGCGCCTCCTTCAAGGTCCATCTCAAGACCTTCCAGCTCCGGCCTGCTCCACGTCCCCCGACTCATCCGCCCCACCATTGTGGGAGAGCCTTCAGGCACTCTGCCCCCAATCTCTGGAATTCCATCTCCCAATCACTCCGCAATGATTGATTGGGTGAAGTACTGCAGGGAAACCGCTGTTTGTCAAACCTTACTCTGAGAAGAGTCAGTCCCCTCAGGATAGGATAAAATTGTTAAACCCCAAATTTTAAGATACAAAACCATTAAGTTTATCCAATATGAAATGGCAACTTGCAACTATTTGTGACATCAACTAAAAATTCTGCAAACAATATTCCTTCCTATGTGAGAGAACTACTAATAATCAATTTGTCTTGGGAGAGGATTTGTTTAGGAGTTGTTAGCCTCTCACACATCCTCTGAATTCCCCACCACAGGCACAAAGTCCAAATGGGGAGAGTCAAATAGGCAAAGATTAGATGTAGGCAGGGAAAGATTCTACACAAGTCAAGGATAAAAACAGTTTAACCCTATCTTAGTATATGGAAGAGGCTTAGTATATGGAGGAGGGGTATGGAGATAGGGAAGGAAGTAGGATTTAAAGTACAACTTGGTCTGATATCTGGTGCTGTCTCGATAGGCAGAATGGCCTCCTTCTGCTCTGTAGAGTTCTACTTATTCTGTACCCAATACAATACAGAATCGCATATGTAGCTTCTTACAGGGTATTTCGGTGTAGAAAAAGAACATTTCCGCCAACATGCATATGCTTCCCTAGCTGCCTGCATTGTAGATATTTAACCATGTCCCTTTATTATTTGAATAACAGGAATAGCAGGAAATATTTTGAGAATAATTTGTGCATTTTTGTTTACCTCCATCCACTTTGACCTCCATCCATGACATTAAACCACTCTCCAGGCAATACGATTCCGACATCAACTCTTCATCCTAAACATTCCACGTACACGTGCTATCACATTAAGCTCTCCCTTTATTAGATATGATCTCCTTGATGACTTCCCTCCTCAGCCATAACCACTCTCTACACACTTACCCCTCAGCCATGACAACTCTCTCCCCCCTACCCTCAGCCATGACAACTCTCTCCCCCCTACCCTCAGCCATGACAACTCTCTCCCCCCTACCCTCAGCCATGACAACTCTCTCCCCTCTACCCTCAGCCATGACAACTCTCTCCCCCCTACCCTCAGCCATGACAACTCTCTCCCCCCTACCCTCAGCCATGACAACTCTCTCCCCCCTACCCTCAGCCATGACAACTCTCTCCTCCCCTACCCTCAGCCATGCAACTCTCTCCCCCCTACCCTCAGCCATGACAACTCTCTCCCCCCTACCCTCAGCCATGACAACTCTCTCCCCCCTACCCTCAGCCATGACAACTCTCTCCCCCCCACCCTCAGCTCCCCCCCTACCCTCAGCCATGACAACTCTCTCCCCCTACCCTCAGCCATGACAACTCTCTCCCCCCTACCCTCAGCCATGACAACTCTCTCCCCCCTACCCTCAGCCATGACAACTCTCTCCCCCCCTACCCTCAGCCATGACAACTCTCTCCCCCCTACCCTCAGCCCTCCCCCTACCCTCAGCCATGACAACTCTCTCCCCCTACCCTCAGCCATGACAACTCTCTCCCCCCCTACCCTCAGCCATGACAACTCTCTCCCCTCCTCTTACCCTCAGCCATGACAACTCTCTCCTCCACCCCCCTTAGCCTCAACCATAACAACTCTCTCATTCCCCTTTCCTCATCCACCACCCTTCTTCTCTCCCCCACCCCCACTTTTCCCTCACCCACGACCCCTCTCTCCTCCTTTCCCAGCCTGAACCAATGTCTCCCCCCTTTCCCTCTCCTCAGCCATGACCCCTCTCCTCAGCCATGACCCCTTCCCCTCTCCTCTCCTCAGCCATTGATTGCTCTCTCTCTCTCTCTCTCTCCCCCTCAGCTATGACCACTCTCCCCCCCCCCCCCCCATGACATCAGCTGTGAGGCGGGCGCGGTGTCCACGCAGTGACGTGTCTGGTCTGGAATGCGTTTCCGGTGCGTGTCGGCGGCGCTCGAGCGAGAGGGAGGCGAGGGGGGCAGCCAGGAGCCGCCGCCAACCGCCACCGCAGGACGGAGCGGAGCCGCGCCGCGCCGCACCAGCTCGGGGGGGAGAGCGAGAGAGAGAGAGAGAAAGAAACAAAAAGAGTTGAGTGAGGGAAATAGAGAGAGAGATTTTTAAAAAAAGTCGACGAGAGAGAAACAAAGAAGAAAGGAAGACTTTAACGGTACCGAGTGAGTGAGTGAGAGAGAGAGCGGGAGAGAAGAAAAGGGCGAGGAAAAGCGCCGCGGGCCCGGGGGCGCTCTCAGGGAAAAACACCAACCGCACATCTCAGAGAGGGAGAAAAGAGGATATAAATGAAAGCAGGAGCCGAACCACTGTAAATATTCAGCACGTTTTAAAGGTAAGTGTTTGGCGACGGGCGGTGTTTTTGTGTCTGTCCCTTTTGTGCTTTGTGGTAATGGTCTGTCTGAGCTGCTGCCGTGCCCTGTCTGTCTGTCTGTCTGTGAGCTGCTGCCGTGCCCTGTCTGTCTGTGAGCTGCTGCCGTGCCCTGTCTGTCTGTCTGTCTGTGAGCTGCTGCCGTGCCCTGTCTCTGTCTGTGAGCTGCTGCCGTGCCCTATCTCTCTGAGTTGCTGCCGTGCCATGTCTGTCTGTGAGCTGCTGCCGTGCCCTGTCTGTCTGTCTGTCTGTCTGTCTGTGAGTTGCTGCCGTGCCATGTCTGTCTGTCTGTGAGCTGCTGCCGTGCCATGTCTGTCTGTCTGTCTGTGAGCTGCTGCCGTGCCATGTCTGTCTGTCTGTCTGTGAGCTGCTGCCGTGCCCTGTCTGTCTGTCTGTGAGCTGCTGCCGTGCCATGTCTGTCTGTGAGCTACTGCCGTGCAACACAGTCAATCTGATACTGTTGCTTGTCCCTATTTTTGAGTGGGGAAAGACATGGCACTGGTTTAAACATGTTGCAGAGAGGGGGGAGAGGGAGGGCTGCAAAATGAATCGTCGAGTTACAGTCTTTTACCGTAAACATGTCGTGTTCATGGGGCGGGGGTTCCTGAGATCTCTCAGAATTGCCCACCCCTCCCTTTCTCTCGTCTGCTCTCTCTTTCTCTCTCAAACTTTTGCTGGGCCTGAGATTTTCTGACTTCCAGTTCACAAGGGGAGGGAGGAAAAAAGTTTCTCGCCTTTCCTTTCCTCCCCCTCCCCACTGTTCAAAAGAGATTTCCTTTTTTGATCACCGACTGGCAACACTTCATGGTCGCCCACTGTAGCAATGAGCTTCCATTTCCTTTAGAAATGTTTAATTGTTAAATCATCCGGGGGTGAAAAAAACTCTCTCTGCGTTAAAAAAGGAAATCATTTTTATTCTAAATCGGTAGGAAACGCAGCTGTCCTCGGTTTGCTCAGGGCGTGCATTCTCTCTCTTTGCCTTGCAGTTTGCCTTTTGTTTCCAGAGAAACTTAATCGCCTATTTCTTCGTGATCGGCAAAGACTTGTGTTTTCTTTTAAAAATGTGTCAAATGGGTTCGATCTTACGGACGACATACACAAATCCCTGCTGCTGTGAAATGTCGTGCCTCCAGGCTTACTGAAAGTGACTTAAATGAAAATTGCTATGGCGGTATTTAATATATTGAAAATTATGCCCTGTGTTTGTATATTACACTCGCACATGTACAAATAAGGAGATAATATGAAGAGGCGTGGAGGCAGTCATAGCCATCTCATCCTTTCATAACAAAATGCAGATTCTTTAGTGTAACAAAGAAACTGAGTTATGCTTATCATCTTGTGTGAAATGTTGACTGATCTGTTTAAAATAATTCATTAAATATGTGAATTCCAATGTAAACCTTGAATCATAGATATTTACAGCGCAGGCCACTTGGCCTATCGTGTCTGCCCTGTCTCTTACAGAGCAATTCTTTCAATCCGATTTCCCTGCTTTTTCCCCATATCCCATATTTGAAATAATGTGTCCCCATTTGAGTACGTTTGGGTAAATGACACCAATTCTGAAATCACACCAGTCAACTATTCTAGAATTGTTTTTAAAAACGCAATTATTGGTGCATTTATATTTTTGTGTGATTAATTTGGCAAATACAATTTAATCATTTGGCCTGTAGATATTCGTGATACTTGTGGTATTTGGCACATTTTGTTAAAAAAAATTGAGTGACACTGTCATCTCATGCCTTCATGAAATTGCATCAAACCAGGGCTCAAGTTTGATGATCTCTGTTCTATGCTGAGTTAATTGAAATCAGTTAAAGTAGTAGCGAAGTAATTGCAATTACTATCCATGAACTATAGTTGTCTCATTGTTTAATATTAGTCATCTTTTTCCTCTGTGAAAGTGCACCTTAAAGCTTTTTATCTTCATTATAATGTTCTAATGTATTTTTAAAAGCTATTCTCTGCCCATGCTTGCCTATCCAATCATTGTACAATAATTGAAGAAGAACACTTGCTTATGTGGTCACAAATACAATGAAGGTCAATGTAACATTTCTTGAAAAAAATAGAAATGATAACTTTAGCATGACTTGGTATATTTTCATTTTTCCTTTCTAGTATGTTCTACTCTTATTCATAGCTGTTCATTTTTTATTCTTGGACTCTTGGTCATTACAGTATTTATGCATGGGTATTTAGAGAAGGGCCTTTAGAAACTGCCTTGCTATGAATAAGCACAAGTTCAACTTGCATGTTAATGAGTCCCAATAAACTTCTGTGTGTTTTGATTATTTTCACATTAAAAGTACAACATTTGGATTGACTGACCTATTTTGCCAGCTTCAAATTTCCAGAACAATAATGATATTTTAAAGGTGTTTTCTTTTCAAATGCAGACTTTTCTAGTTCTGTTTCCCACTTTTTATACAATTTAAAATATTTGGCTGCCTTGTTTTGATTTTCATCATTCTCTGTTCAAAGATGGAAAGGATAATTGTTCAAAATTCTTCATGATAACAGCAAGTACATTCATTTCACAACCAGCAACTTTTTTTTCTACCTCATTCTTGTTTTGACTTGAAGGCAGATGTGTAGCTTGGATGTCGGAGAGGTGATTTCTTAATAATATGTTTGATGCATGTGGCTAAAGGTGCCACTCAAGGGCTAATTGCTGGCTGGAGTAAATCAAAGGTTTAAAATTGAAGGTGACTATGGTGATGAATTTGTCATCACATTCAACCTCTCGTAAACTCATGTGACTGTCTTATGGGTTTCAATGATTATTTTTATGGCTATCTAGTTTTCTCTCCTCGCTTAGTTAGTTTCCCCGTAGCATTGATGCCTGCCGAGACTCATTCAACCTTGTTGACTCTTTTGCTGATGATTCAACTTCCTTCAGGTCGAATGCCATCACAAATGCAGTTCACTGCTGAATCACTAAGCTTTGATTTCATCCAAGCCCTTATAAAGAAAAATTAAGACAGTTTGGTTCTATTCTAGCCCTTCATTATCAACATTTTTTATCTCACCATCTTTGATTTCAATTGAAACTATCACACTGCCTCTTTTGCTAAAGCAAAACTTCAAAAAGTTTCTTTTCAGAAAAATATTTTTTCTGCAGCTCTTAACTTTCTGTAAAACCAAAAGGTTGTCAAAGACTCCTTTTTTTCTGGGCAGAATAATAGAAAACCTGGTTATCTAAAGGGTGAAGCTTTGTCCACTTTTTGTCTTTCTGATATACTGTGGACTGGGAATTTGAAGTCTAGCCAGGGATTAATGATTTCACCTGCCTTCACTGAAATGGTGTCATTTTAACAAGATTTGATACTGTGGTTATATCATGATACCTTTACTGCTGCCAATTATGCAACACCATAAATTCCCGTGTTCAGACTTGCAAGTCGAACAGATAACATTGACTCTTTAACAAAGCAGTTATAAGTTAGGAGTATCAACTGTACCCAATTTGGAGTGTGTAGATAGATATAATACAAATTTACATTTATACAGAGATTTTCAGATTGGGAGGATAAACTAATATAATCTCACAATGGAGAAGTGCACCTTTTAATTAGAGCAGCTTTCATAATCCAGTTTGTCCCAGCTGCCATGTGTTGAAAGCAATGTGAATCAAATGAAGAAATAAATTTTAAATAAATCCAGAAGTAGAATGTAGATGAATAATAAGAGGAAAGTTTGCGACATTTTAGGGTTAATAATCCCTCCAAAACCAAAAACAATAATAAATTGGTCATTTTCAATCTACGACTGTTTGTGGGACATTGCTGTGCGCAATTGGCTGCCGCGTTCGCCCACAAATATACAGTCAATTCACTTTACAGGTCTTCTGTGAAGCGCTTTGGGACGTCCTCCTGACATGAAAAGCGCTATATCAAATGCAAGGATTATTATTATTTGTTATAATGCCTTTTTGATGATTTGTATTCTAAATTGGAGCTTGAAGGTTTTTTCTATAGCCAGAATTATGATGTACTGCAACAAAATCCACAATCTCAAATTATACATTTCCTGAAAATCACACAAAGCCTCCATTACCTTCTGCAGATAGTAAAATACAGAATGTTTTTAATTGATGATTTTTTGAGTTTTAAGATGTTTCAGCATCGGCATCCCTCACATTCCATTCCAGATCCAGGGAGATTGTTGTGTGTAAAAGTGGCATACGTATGTATGTGGAACTCTGTCTGGTTTGCATACTCTTTAGTGTAGTAATGGATTTCCATGCATCGGACAAGAAAAACTCTCAACAAGATCCCAATTTCTGACTTGTTTTGATCTTTCCAATTTCTGAGCTGTGTGACTCTCAGTCCTGCTGATTTGCACATCACCAATAGCCTCTGAACCTTTCAGATGACCACAGCATTGCACCGTATGACGTAGTATTTCAGGATACATTGTTGGCACCAGAATTGCTTACATTTGTTGCTAACAATCTGCAAGTAAAGGAGCAATCTGCAGTAGTGCTGTGGAAAAGATTGTGGTGGTCTCTGCCTAACATAAATGCAGCCCAAGACACAAATCAGTAGCAGATATTTATAATTTTTCACAGAATTTACCAGGAGGTTTTAATGTCAATTCCCCCCCCCCCTCAAATTTTTTTTTTGGCATGAAAAGTAGACCCTGAATCTACAGTACCCCTGTTGTTATTTTGTTGTTGAAAAACAACGTTCATTGTAGTTATTACTATTATGTTATTTAATAGTGCTTAGTTATGTGTCAGATGCAGAGCAGAATCCTAGACCATACCCAAACAGTGGTTTAATCTCATTTCCTATAGCAGATATCTTTACGGCATTTTTGTGATTGGCAGTTGATGCATTTTTTGAGTGCCTATTGATTTAATAGAGATGGAAAGAATTTCTAAAATATTGTCCAGATGAGAAAGAATAGTGTGTGAGCTCACTGCACCACATTGGTTTTACCATTCACTCCTT